TGCAGTTCAACAGCGTGTTCACAATTCTCAACGCCTTTGTCCTGCTTTTTATCATCGTTGCGGGATTTGTCTTCGCCAATACTGACTACTGGACGTCTCAGAAGTATGTTGTTGTTGTTGTTGGTGTTGGTGGTGGAGGTGGTGTTGTTGTTGGTGGTGGTGGTGTTTTTGTTGTTGTTAATGGTGGTGGTGGTGTTTTTGTTGCTGTTAATGGTGGTGGTGGGGTGGTTGTGTTGTCGTTGCTTCATACCAACACCGACTAATGTACTTTTAGAAAGTATGGTGTTGTTGTTGTTGTTGTTGTTGTTGTTGTTGTTGTTGTTGTTGTTGTTGTTGTTGTTGAAGCGGTTGTAGTTGTAGCTGTAGTTTTTTTTATATTTGTAAATGTTGTTGCTGCTGTTGTTGTTGTTGTTGTTGTTGTTGTTGTTGTTGTTGTTGTTGTTGTCGTTGTCGTTGCTTCATCCCAACACCGTTTGCTGAACGTTCCAAAAGTATGTGTTGTTGTTGTTGTTGTCATTGCTGATATGTAGTCGCTGCAGTTGTTGTTGTTGTTGTTGCTGTTGTTGTTGCTGTTGTTGTTGTTTTTGATTTTGTTGTCGTTGTCATTTTCGATACAGTTGTTGTTGCTGTTGCTTCCTCATGTAGTATTAATTTATAATACCCCATACAAGGAGCTCTGACGTAATTCCGGTTCAACATAATGGACCCCTTTTAGACTTTAGTTGGAAACAAAAGAAGGGCACAAATGGAAAGGTTGCGCGAGCTCTCGACTATAGCGAGAATAATTGGTTGCCCTTTATTTGCACATCCGTCGTGTTGTTTTTTGTTGGGTTTTTTTTTTTGCTGTTGTTGTTGGGTTTTTTGGGGGGTTTTTAGGGGGCGGGGGTTGTTGGTGTTTTTTTTAACGAGGACGAAGAGTGGCAGCTATGACAGTGTCCGGTCTAATATGGTCGCTTTTAAGGACAAACGGGCTAACCCAGATTTCGGGGATTTTCAGAAATCTTGACCTACACCAAAAGGGGGCAATGCTCTACCTATAGAAGAAGTTTGGTTTCATTGGTGTGTACATTTGTTTGGTTACAGAGAAAACTCTCCTTGACTTTTAAAGAAACTGAACGAGGGCCAAAAACTTTACCTCAGATTTTCTCAAAACAGCATTTTTCCGGATAGCCCCCTTGTGCTTAAAAGCGACCATATTATATTTCAAGTCCATGCTCAGACTTATATTATAATTAGTTTTCTTTATCGTTATAATTTCTGTAAAATAACAAGTTTAACCAGGCACATTATAATAATCACAAAAAGAACGGGGGAAAAACAATCTGATGTTCACACATTTTTAAAATTACAGTTAAAACATCTGGCTCTCCTGATATAATTTGAGTCTACGTCAGCTAGTCACACTTTCAACAGCAATAATCTGTGTTATCCTGGTTCGAATCCCTGGCGAGACGACTTTAAACTTTAGTCGTTTTCAGAATGTCACACTTTCAACAGCAATAATCGAATCTGTATTATCCTGGTTCGAATCCCTGACAAGGCGACTTTAAACTTGAGTCGTTTTCAGAATATTTGTGGCTATCCCATCGCCTGGCTCTTTAGCTTGGTTTAGTGTAGTTTAGTAAGAGTTTTACAGCGCTCTCGACCGTATAGGGTCGTAACCTGGCGTTGTCCTGTTGAATCCAGACGACACAATGGGGGTCCCCGTTCTTTGAGCAGTAAAAGGTGTGTTGTACACCATACAGAGGTGCGCCTAGCTCAAGAGTTTTACAGCGCTCTCGACCATAATTGTGAGGGAGCGCGGTGGAATCAGGCTCTCGTCAAAATAATCAAAATGAAGAAACTTGCATTTTTCTGCGGGTTTGTGAATTTTTATCAAATTTTTATTTTTGGGCTCAACACCTGTCATGCAGATTAAAGAACTCATTTCTGTGTGGAAATTTTCTGAAAAACGTTGATTAAAGGCACAAAAGATGTAAATTTTCAGTTACCACGGACTCTTAAGCTATGGAAAAAAGTAATCTTTGGCGGCCATTTTCTCACTATATTTACCCCTGAAAACAGGTGACCCCCACCTCCTTCATTTTGCAAATATATCGACTTGTTGAAAGATAAATGGATTTTTTTGCATCCAAATAAAGACAAGAGAACAAGCTTTAAGATGATACCAATAACTCGATGTGCCCAAAAATTGACGAGAGCCTGACTCCACCACGATGCCTCACATATAGGGTCATAACCTGGCGTTGTCTTGTTGCATACAGAGAACACAATGAGTGTCCCTGTACTTTAAGCAGTACTTTGTGTTGTACACCATACAGCAGGTGCGCCGAGCTCAAGACCACCCAGTCTGGGATTCGAAGCAAGGCCTGCCACCTTGTAGTCCAGCATGATACCAACTGAGCCAGTAACTTGATAATGAATGTGGCCTGCGATGAGTTGATAATCAATGTTTAAAAAAAAAAATAAGACGCGCCATCTTGAAAATAAAAACCAATAGTTTCAGTACCTGCTAGAAGCAAGACATCTAATAATACATGTATTAGATCTCACCAAAGAGTCTACATAACAAGAGGAGCCACTTCTCTCTTTGAGCCAATTAAAAAGTGTCCTCAAAATTCGGTGGCGCCCTCTTCGCAAAAGCGCACCTTTTGCGAACAGAGTTACCCTACTTGAGTTTAAAAAATCAAAGTGAAACTAGCAAGTTTTTGAATAAATTTCGGAAGAACGCTTTTTTAAAATGGTTACGCTGACAAAAAAACTCTTCCGTAGGAAAGGGTGATTGTTTTCTTTGTTTAATTTGACTTTAGAATGAAAGGCGAGAGGTCATTAAAATAAAAAACAACAACTAAAACTCCACACTGAACGAACCCGAACTGCTGATGAACAGCAGTCGATCTGCGCACGCATGGAGGTGCTATTCCTATTCTTCTTCTGGTAAAACAAAGAGAGCTTCAAAACAGACTGCAGCGCGATCTGAAGCAAAGAGCAAACTTCCTGCGGACACTTTTTTGGCTGGGTGGACCATCTTGTTATGTACTATCTTTGATCTCACGAAATGCCCTTAGGTAATATCGATATCGAGACTTATCGATATATTATTATGCCGCGTTGTCAGTTTTAGCCTCACTTTTAAAAGCTTGTGTGTTTCAAACAATTTCACACGTTTTCCCTTACACGTTGGCCCGTGAGAGATTCTCGGAATGGCTTAATCCTGCCAGGAATATGGGCACACAGTCCAAGTTAAGTCGGAAACCTTTCAGAGCCGGGAGAATTATTTATAAGCTTCGCGCACGTCATATAAGTAGCTGTTGGAGAGTTTTAGGCTGGGACACGTACCGCTGTGGACTTATGGACGGGGTCAGCGTGGCCTGGTGCAACATTAACATTTATTGAGAGAAAGAGGGGGGGGGTGGGGAGGGAGAGGATGAGAGAGAAAGGAAGAGAGAGAGAGAGATTGGGAGAGAGAGGGGGAGACGGAGAGAGGGAGAGACAGGAATGGAGAGAGAGAGAGAGAGAGGGAGAGACAGAGACAGAGAGAGACGGGGGGAGAGTCAGAGACAGAGAGAGACGGGGAGAGAGAAAGATTGAGAGAGAAAGAGAGAGAGAGAGGAAGAGAGAGAGCGAGAGAGAGAGAAAGAGAGAGATAGAGAAAGAGAGGGGTGTGGTGGTTTGAAGAATGGCGAAGTTGGAGGAAGGGTGTGTGCTCTTGTGTGATTTGGTTTGGTTTGATACTTCTTTCCTATCAGATTTATATCGTCTTTATCTCTACTCCTTCTTTCCTTTATATGTGATGTCGGTATTTTGGTGGTTAGGGAACCGGACTCATACCGTGAGGTTGCGAGATCGGGGGTTTGAGCCGCGGGCCCGACGTTGTGTCCTTGAGAAAGGCACTTTTCGCGAATTTTCCTCACTTCACCCAGGTGGGAATGGGAACCCAGCTACAGACAGCGAGAGATCTTGTCAGAAGGTTTAGAGTTATTAGCGTCTATAAGTGACAGCTTGCACTGTATGTTACTCAGGAAGTTCAGATTTTTTTTTCGAATGCTATCATGTCTGTAGCGGAAATAATATAGATTGTAAATCGCATAGAGCTTGCTGTTGAGCGGGAATTTATGCTATACAAAAGCAATCTGTTATTATGATTTACATCATGTAACACCTTGCTGCCGGGGATGTGTCTCGTGTCTACTTCCTAAAAAATCTCAGTTGTATCAATGACTGCTTTAATAAGTATTGTAACAGCATGCTTTTTAAAAAATCCCTTATTTTATATAGACAACACTTATATCAATCAGGAGGCGGCTTGTTCGATCTCTTGTAAGAGTGGGTGGTTGGCAGGTGCTCTGGTGTGGTTTGCTTCTTTTTTTGTATCAAACATCTATCGTATTTATCTCCCCTCCTTCTTTTTTATGTTTTTTACTCTCTTGTAACACCTCTAATCTTTTGGCGCTCAAATGACCTCTTGCAGTTGCGAGCGCCGTAAAACCTCTACTAAAACAAAATCTCCTGTAAGAGCCAACTCGGGTTAAGAGGACTTCATCGTCCGAGCAGAAAAACAGAAATACTCCTTTAAAAAAGACACACACCTCCCTACAGTGAATTGAATTGTTCCACAAGACCTCAAATGCCATTGATAAATATTTATTGGAGACGAAGAAGAAAGAAAAGAGAAAAAGAAAGGGGAAAATGCTACTTTTATTGATCGCGTATAGAGACATGGGATAGATTGGCAAGTATAATGCACGCACAAATAAATATACAAGTTGAATAAGTCTTATTTTTCCATGGTATCAGAATACAGTCAAAACATGCACGCTGTTATGGGGGCGAATACAGCTCAACGACGAAATGAAAAGAGCGGAAATACAGAGCTTCGATATAATGTCACTGACATGCAAGCACTGCGACAGAATCTGCGCTTCAAACATAGGAAGAATTAGCAATAGAAGAAGCCGCATGAAGACAACCTTGAGACCATCTTAAGCTAAATTGGCAGTCTGCGTAGATGAAAAGAGCCATACCACAGCTCAGATGGCTAAATGTTCGGCGTTATTGCAGGTGGCTCGTGGTTTGAGTACCGAATACGACGAGGGAACAAAGATCGTACATAACAACATAGTTCACTCAGCCAAAAAAGTGTCCACGGAATCTTGTACGCCCATTGGTTCAGATGGCGCTGCAGTCTTTGTCTTGAAGCTCTTGGCTAAAACAGCACCTGGACATGGATGGCTGGTGCCTCTAAAAATACATTTTTGATGGTCAATGTTTTGAAGCTCTCTTTCATTACTTCAGAAGAAGAATAGGAATAGCACAGTTTGTTAGTTTCGCTTTTATTGTTTTTCACACAAGTAGAGTAACTCTGTTTGTAAAGTCCGCACTTTTTCGAAGAGGGCCTCACCGAATATTGAGGACACTATTTTAATTGGCTCAGAGAGAGGAGGGAACTATCTTGTAAAACATGATCTTTGGTTATTCGAATGCAAAGTGATGAGAAAAGAGTTGTCTTGGAAGTTTTCAACTTTGACACCAACTTGCCTTGGTTGTGTCAGAGTTGGACGTTAAATTATTAGGAACTGCTGCTTCTTACAGGACCTTAAAGTGTTGAAATGGGGCGTTAAAGACATCGTATCCCATCACAATCATCATCATCATAATCATTACTATTATAAGTATAATTATTGTTATGATGATGATGATGATGATGATGATGATGATGATGATGATGATGATGATGATGATGATGATGATGATACTCTTATCATCAAATTATTATGGTAATATCATTCTGATCATTATCATTAATCTTATTATCCTTATCATTATTATCATCATCATAACCATCATGATCAATATCATCATGTCTATTATTATAATCACCTCCTCCCCCGCCCCC